TGATTTGTCGCAATCTCAACTACAATTCCTTCTTCCATTGCTTCAACTTCGGGACCAACTTGTTGTCCCCTTTATTCAATTGTCCTTCTTGCCTCCGCTTGCTCCCTCTCTCGATCTATAGTCGGAGGGTCCGGTTGATGTCCTCGTCCAGTGGTGTCCGGCTGAGGAATGGGATACGATTCAAGCCACTTATGTGACTCTCTCAACCTATCGACTAAGGATTAGTTAGACTTCACCCTCGAATTGGAGTTTGGAAGGCCACCCACAACCAAACCCTAAGTGTTTAACACGAATTGGGAGGTTTTCCCTCAAACTAACCTAGACTAGGAGGCATAGAATTTCCAAGAAACCCATCTCTAGAAAAGCCTCTTAAGTTTTTTTTTTAACAAAAGATATATATTTGATTAAAAAGAGAAGGTAGTTACATCCTAGAATGAAGCCAGGCCTGATAATCAAAAACACAACACGCAACCGGGTACATCGAAAGGGCCTTTCTAGCCACCAAATGGGCTACCCTATTACTACGCCGACCTACAAATCGAATACTCAATCCAGGATGAAGGGCAAATATTTGTACCACCTCAATAAGAACAGCCCCCATCCTACTATCCTCTGCCTCCATTCGCCGAATTTTATCGATAATCACCTTTGCATCCCCCTCAAAGCGAACCTCACTAAACCCTTGTGCTAGACACCACTGCACAGCCTCCCGAAGTGCCAAAACCTCAGCAACTAACGGAAGTTAAGGGTGTTTCTCTCTAAACTAGGTTAAAATGGCAATTAGATTGATAGGTTTTCACACAACACAATCATTTCTGAATAATACTCCCACATTCATATTAAAACACATCCACACGCAAATCATTCAATTCATACAAGCATTCACATAATTGTAGTTAGGGTTTACAAACACCCAAGTGAAATAAGGGACTACTCCATGCTAGGAGAAGGGAAAACACAAAAGAGGGAAAGGAAAACCATAATGAAGAGGAAAGTGTTGCTCCTTATGCTGAAGAAAACTCAAATCCTTGCTTAGAGATCATGTGATATCTCGATTTTGGATTTAGGTTCAACATCAACTACCAGGAGAATTGGATCAACATGACAAGCTGAATTGGCATTTTGTTTCACCACGTTTGGGTCAAGCTAGGTAGTAAAAAGGGCAGTGAGGCACTTATTGTTACACGAGTGCTGCAAGCTAAGGAAACTTATTTGAGCAAAAGGTACCAACGGATTTGTTATAGTAAGAATAGATGATTGTGGGAAGGAAGAACAAGAAACGTGTTGATGGAAGGACGAGTTCCGAGAAAATTTCGGGGACGAAATTTTTATAAGGGTGAGGAAAATGTAACATTCCGGTATTTTAGATTTGGGTTCGACCATATTAAATGACCAGTTAGTTTGACGTTACGTTCTAAGAGTTGCAACCGCGGATTAGGAATAATAATAATAACTATTATTATTATATTATTATTATTACTATATATATATATATATATATATGGTGGTTTCTATCGTAACTTGGGTGAAATCTAGGGTACGACATACCCTAAGTAAGAAAACGTATCTAGAACTCGAATTAACTGCATTTCTGGGCATGATACTATACCCTAACCCTTGATGGGTGAACCCTAAGTCTTAGTTTTCTAGATCATAGAGCCTAACCCCTAAGATTGTGCATGTAATTTTTTGCATATATTTCAACGAATCATGACCGTCAATTTTTGTTTCTCAATAAATTGATCTTCATGTATGAGATTTATAGAACTAAGACATAGATTTTAATCTTTAAGAGTTTGAGAATAGTTCCAAATGCCAAACTCCGGTCAATTCAAGGTCTAGATATCATTTTCTTACTCAATGTACGACATACCCCGGATTTTACCCGGGGTACGATAGAATGGTCCATATATATATATATATATATGGCAAAGGCTAGCGTACGCCCGGACGTACCCTAGCCTACCGTACGCCCGTTGAGTTTTGCTATTTAGACAATGAATGAACCAGAGTTTGGGGCATGATATTATACCCTAACCCCTAATGGGTGAACCCTAGTCCGCAATTCACTAACCCAAAGCATAATATTAATTTAATCTTGAAATGAAAATCAACGGTTTTGATTCGTCGAAATTATTGTTGATTTTCATTTCAAGATTAAACGAATCTCATGATTTGGGTTAGAAAACTAGGGACTGGGGTTTATCCATTAGTGGTTAGGGTATAGTATCATGCCCAAAACTCCGGTTAATTCATGATCGAAATAGCAAAATTCAAACGGGCGTACGGTAGTCTAACGTACGCCCGGGCGTACGCTAGCCTAAACCATATATATATATATATATATATATATATAATGGGAAGGGCCGAGCCAAACCCTTTTCCCTGCATCAAAATCCCCCATCCCACCCATTTTATTGCCGGCAACACAGCAGACAAATAAAAAATAAATAAAAAATAAACCCTTCTCGTATTTTGCAAGCACCGGCGCCGCGGAGAAGAGAGGAGAAGAAGAAAAAAAAGGAAAAGAAGAGCGCGCCAACCTCACCCAGATCCGGAACCCAACCCCGACCCTTTCGTATTTCTAGGTAAGGATCACGAACCCCATCGCGATTTCTAAACTCGATTCATCGATAGTCTAATTAGGAGACCAACATCCCGGGTCATCCAATCTGGTCCTAGGCACGTTCTAGAGGTAAGGGAACTCGATCCCTTTGAGTTATGTCTTTTATTTCAGTTATGTTCGCTAATTTTTTTAGTAATGCGCGATATGTGTGTGAGGCATCCCACCGCCTATAAGGGTGGAGGCACGCGTTGTGCTATGTATGAATGTGTGGATGTATGATTGTAATAATTGGTTAATGGTAAGAGGAACCCCCGGGCGGTTGGGTCACTATTGGACGGTGAGACGTAACGCAGTAGTTGACGGGCATGGACTGGACGGCGAGATGTAACGCATTGCCATTGCCGAGTTTGGGTATGCAACTGGACGACGAGACGTAACGCGGTTGGCATACTAGGGTAGGGACACCAGACGACGAGACATAACGTCGTGCTCCCTAGTGTTGGTGTCTATGGATTAAGAATATAAGTAAGGAAACTCTAAAGATAAGATAGGAGTAGAGATCTCTTATGGACTGTTTGATAACAAAGTATAAAGGAGGAAAGCGAGAACAACTTTCGTCTAAGGAAGGCAATCCGCTAATAATGTGTTTAGTAAGGAGTTTGCCTAGGGAAAAGACCTTAGGAAGTAACGACAAGACTGACCCCTTCTCACTCACCAGGTCGAGGAAGGGTTAGTAGAGGCGGACTTCGAGAAGAGGCAAGGCGATGTGAGCAGCTGCACTAGCATTGATGAGAAGTCAAGGAACTCGTGAAGAGTCAGAGCTAGAATAGTTTAATTTCTTTGTTACATGGTTAGGAGTGTAAACTGTAGATTCTGAGTTCTTTCATTTTAAGTATTGGGATTGTCATTTGCCCTAGTGCTCAGTCTTTTTGTTTGGCCGGGAACTTTCGCCTTACCCTTGTCCTTCTTTGGGGTAAAGGTGTGGCTCATCTTTGTGCGCCACGCTGTATTCTTCCTCCCTTCGGGATTAGCACCAACCTTAGGCTCCTGTTTCACATCATCCAAAGGAACAAAATCACTAGTGGGGTTCGCCTTGAGTGGCTCACCTCCACTTCCAGACTTAGCTTTCATTTACATTTCCATAACATCACCTTTCTTACTCTTAGTGTCAATCGAAAAGGTAATTTGCTCCTCTCCATCTCTCAATATCAAAGTACCCTCATTAACATCGATTAACACCTTGGCGATGGCAAGGAAAGGACATCCTAGTATGAGGGTCATAGACGCATCTTCACTAATATCCAAGATAATAAAATCCGTCGGATAATGGAATGTGACCACCCTCATTGGGAAATCTTCCACAGTACCCCTAGGACTAATTACCGAACGGTCAGCCAAGGTAACACTCAACCTAGTGGGTTTCAATTCACCTAGGTTCAATCTTTGTAAAGCTTAAATACAAGATGTTAATGCTTGATCCTAAATCCACCAAGGATTTTTCTATATGGCATGCTCCAATGCAAAGAGGGATAGTGAAACTACCTGGATCTTGTTTCATTTTAGGTAACATGTTTTGGATAAAGGCCGAGCACTACTTGCCCAAAGTGACGGTGGCAAAGTCTTCAAGCTTGTGCTTCTTTGCAAGAAGCCCTTTGAGGTATTTTGCATACCTTGGCATGCACGCCATTGCCTCCAAGAAAGGCATGGTAATGTTAAGCTTCTTGAGCATCTCCATGAACTTCCCGCACTCTGCCCCCAATCGGTCCTTATGCACCCTTGTAGGGAAAGGAAGAGGAGGATTGTACTCAGCCACTTGTGGTGACATTGGAGATGCCTTCTTAGTCTCTTCTTCCTCCCCGTCCGTGCTTTCTTGATCATCTACCATTGGAGGAGTCTTCTCTTCTTCGATATCTTCTTTAGCAACAACCTCCGGAGTTACCTTCCCACTCCTCAAGAGAATAGATTAGCAATTTCAGTCTCCAAATTTTGAAGGCTCGCTTATGACTTCCTAGACATGATAACACCTTCAGTATACATATATTTATCTACACTTTTACATCCTAAAATAACCTAAATTGTACCAAGTTCATTTGATTTACTGATTTTACGCTTGGTTTTGTGTTTGAGTGATGTTTCAGGGTATTCTATTCAATAAGAATAAAAGAGTGAGCAAATTCAACAAAAAGATGGTGAGGGTTTGAAATCTGGCGTCGTTGGAACCCGAGGCCGCGATGTCCCGTGCGAGGGAAAAGAATCTTACCACTTCAGTCGCGTCCCCTTTTGGTGTCAATATACGAAACCCACCGTGTATTATGACGATGAATCTCGGAGAGAGGTAGTTGACAATTCAGAGTCAAATCGCAATCTCCACAGTCAAACTGCCTCCTGCTAAACAGAAGGAAATGCTATCAAAAGGGCCAATGTGGGCAGCAACATGGCCATGCTCACAGACCATGTTCAGGCCAACACACCCAAGAACCTGGCCACGTTGAAGACCACGTCAACAAAAGTCAAGGAGCTTTCAAAGGGTCAATGTAGGCATCAACATGGTCATGTCCGAGACCACGTCAACATCAACACACTCAGCAACATGACAATATTCATAGACCACGTTCAGGGCAACACACCTTGGAATGTGGCCACGTTGAAGATCACGTCAACAAAAGTCAAGGAGCTTTCAAAGGGTCAACGTGGGCATCAACACGGCCGTGTTCCGGGCCATGTTCACTGTCAGAAGCACATTTCACATTCATTTCGATGTAGAGATCACATTTATGACGTTGTCGCACGTTGGATCTAACACGGCCTCAGAACACGGCCGTGGTGGGTGGGCACGTTGACCTTTTCTGCACTTTTTAAGAGAGAAACCATGGTCGCATCCTCCTTCAACGTGGACTTCGGTGGGAGGTTAGGGATGGTCTCCAGGCCTCGATCCAGCATTCTAGTTGGCTCCTGTCTCTTCACCCTCACCCTCCCTTGTGTAGCCCTCGTGTCTTCCTGAAGGTAGCTGAGCTGATGGTGCTTAAGGAGAGGAGTGTGGTGTCGACAGTCGCTCGAGTAGTGTTTCCATTCTGATGATATCCAGGCTATCATGGCTATTCCCTTGCCCCGTCTGAGTGTAGCTGATAAACTGATATGAAGTGTTCACTGTCAAGCCTGCTTACCATCTGGCGGTTTTGGTGGATAGACAGGGTTGGGTGTGGTGCCCCGTGGTCAGTTGGATGGATAGGGCCAGTTGGATGCGGTTGTGGGAACTCAAGATCCCGCCTAAGTTAAAATTGTTCCTTTGGAAAATTTTCCACCGTATCATGCCCACTACTGAATCTTGGATTAAGAAAAGGGTCCAGATTTTTCCCTGATGCCCGGTGTGTTGGGCGGAATTTAAAATGGTGGAGCACCTCTTTTAGGAATGTCCAGTCGCTAGAGCTATCTGGACGCATCTAGGTTTGGAGCATTTGGGTAATGGCTTGCCTAGACAGACCTTGCCTCTTTTCCAGAAAAAGTGCTTGCTGGGAATGACCCAGTCGGATCAAGTTGTGGCCTTGGTGGCACTACTGTGGCGGATTTGGAAATCTAGAAATTGGGATGCGTTTGAGGGTAAGCCATTTTTGGTTCCTCATCTAATGCACCAATATCATCAACAACTCCATTAGTGCGTGTCCTTACCAGTGGATAGGGTAGTCCGCGATCAGATCCCTTTACAGCTCAATCAAGAGGTGGGGGATTCGCCTTCTGTCATCTGTATGTGGGATGAGGCGGTACGTCCTCACTCACATTCAGCGGGAGGGCTTGTCATAAAGGTAGCGGTGGGTCGGTGATCTTAGCAAGGGGGATGGTGTTAGAAAACATTGTGGACCCCCTGGTGGCGGAGACTTCTGTCCTCCGTAAGGCCATTCAGTGGTGCCAGAATCTTGGATTCTCCCAAGTTTGCTTTGAAGGGGATGCAAAAGTGCTCATTGATAAGATTACAACCAGGGATGCGCAAGATAGTCGTGTTGGGGCTATTATCCTGGAGATTCTGTTGTTGATGGCTCTGCAAGTGGTTTTCGAGTTCGATTCGTCGGTCGGATTAGCGATAGGGTAGCCCATGTAGTGGCTAGGAAGGCCCTTTCTTTGTTTACGACTATGTGTCGTTTGTATGATTTTCGTGCCTGGGTTGTGTCTAGGATGTAGTCTGTGATCTTTTTCTTTAATCAAATTGATTATATGTTGTTAAAAAAAAGAGATGTCTGTGATTTAATTTGGGGATTTTTGAAGACGTATTACTATTTTTAGAAATTGGTCAAATGTTCATTTTAATTAAATAAAAATCTTGTCGAGGGGTTTTCAGGGGCTTTGATAATTTTCCATGGTATTTGTTATCATGATTGACATGGGAAAATTATTATCTGAATTTTTAAGAAGGTTCAAGTTAGGTGAAAAATTCGTACAAGACGAAATTAATTTGGAAAAATAGTCGATTTTGAAGGGATTGTTTCTAGAAAATTGTTAGAGGGAATTAAGTGATTTTTGGAATGAGGTTTGAGGATGGGACTTTGAAGAGAGGGTTTTTGGGTAAATAAAAGGGGTTTTAAATCGTGGAAGGCCGTCTAAGAAAATGGATTCTTATTAATAGGTTTTCTCTGTCGTAGGTCTTTTAGTTTATGTTTTTTCTTCAAGCTATTATTTAGTCAAGGGTTGAGTAATGCGCGCACGCGTTGGGCCTATGCTTCACTTGAAAGTATAGTTGGTTAATGGTAAGACGACTCCCCAGGCGGTTGGGCCACTACTGGATGCGGTAGATGGTCTGGTCACTATTGGATGACGAGACGTAACGCATCAGTTGATCGTGTTTGTTGGGGTCACTACTGGACAGCGAGACATAACGCAGTAGTTGACCGGGCATGGACTTGATGGCGAGACGTAACGCAGTGCCATTGCCGAGTTTGGGTATGCAACCGGACGGCGGGACGTAATGCGATTGGCATATTAGGGTAGGGACACCGAACGACGATGCGTAACGCGGTGGTGCCTAGTGTTTTGGGGTCTTTGGATTAAAGATTATAAGTAAGGAAATTCTAAAGTTAAGATAGGAGTAAATATCTCTTATATACTGTTTGAGAATAAAGTATAAAAGGTGAAAGTGAGAACGACTTTTGTCTAAGCCAGGAACCCTAATAATGTGTTTAGTAAGGAGTTTCTTAACGCGAAGACCTTGGGAACTAACGACGAGACTGACCCCTTCTCACTCCCCAGGTGCAGAGAGGGGAAGAGGATGCATCCATCAGGAGGAGGTTACCCAAGGGACCAGACGTGGCAAACTTGAAGATGTCAGCTGGATCTGGGTAACGAGATGGAAAACTTTAGTTTCCTGTCTTAATGAGTATACTGGGAAACTCAAGGATTGTGTTTATTGTTTTGTTGCTTTGGATTGAGATTGCCCAAGTGTTTAGGGCATTTCACTTGAGAATCTTAATTACTGTTGTTGATTTTCGGTTTTGACTTGTAAATCTGTTTTGGGTTTCTCCGGAGTAACCGATTTGAGGTTTGACTTATGGTTTGGTTTTCAAAAAGGATCGGGTTGTTTCAAATATAAAAAAGGGGATTCCAACCATATTTAAAGAAAAAAATAAAGCACCTAAAAAGTGATTCCATGAACTATATGTTTTTTAGAGTCTCTTTATCTACGGATCACTTGTACTACGATCACTACTTGGCGTGATCCCGACTTGGGACTAGAGTTCTCGCCAAAGAAGCTATGAGGTGCCTTGTGCGTTGGTTGACCTTGGAAGCTTCTGAATGATCTAGGAAGTCCACTATAGACGATCGGGGTTGCGTGTTGCTGTAGAGGTCTAGAGAGTTGCATTGATTTGATTCAGGTTTTCTTGGGGACAAGTAAACGATTAAGTGTGGGGGAATTGGGTAACTACATATTTACACATGTTTTACCCCTCATTTCTTGATTGTTTAGCTTGGTATTTATCATACTTTGGTCTATTTTATGCTAGGTCGTGTTCTTTTGTCACATTTCAGACCCTAGCACATAAAGTGAAGCATAGGTGCAAGTTTCAAGTCAATCGAAGATCAATTGGCAACTTAGGGGAAGAAACTTGGGCATGACCTGAGGAAGAATGAATTTCTACCTTATTTTATAGACACAAAATTTTGTAATATTGTCATGATGAGAAATTGGACGAGACTACGAGCGTCTGGGATCAACGCTGTCGAATTTGGAGTCCGGACGAGGGAGAAACGAGACATTCAAGATAGGGCAATAGGAGCAATGATTTCCACCGGTTGGAAGCCGATTCCACGGTCATGGATGAGAGGTTTAGACCATGGATTTATCATAGGAAAGATCCATGGGTTGGAGAGCCAATTCCACGACCGTGGAATCTAAGGGGTGACCGTGGAACGTGTCAGCAAGGTAGAGCCGGGTTTTGGATCCCAAACACGCAAGGTACGAACCCGAGAGAGAGAGAGAGAGAGAGAGAGAGAGAGAGAGCACCTTGGGATCATTCTTGGAGCTATTTTGGAGTATTTCTTTGCCATTAAAGCTCAGGAATCAAGCTTGGAGGTGGAGAATGAAGATCTAGATCAGATTTATGCATTATCTCCCTTCTTTATGTAGTAACTTCCCTTCACTTAGGTTGTCAGGAACCCTAGCTATATTTGTTTGATAGGATGATTGTATGAGTACTCCTATTTGATAAACTTGAGTTTATATTCAATCTACGCATGTCTTCATGATTCAATTCTGCTTTAGTCGAGATTATTGATTCTGTTTTGATCCTATGAGAGCGAATACCTTATTAGGTCAATAGAGCACCATAGATTGATAGTATTGGATCGATTTCTTTAGTCGAGGGTCGATTCACTGCTTTGTACTGATTGAGAACCTAATTCGATAGAGGGAATCTAGTTCAGAACGCCTTAATCGGTTGTTCTAGAGAAGGACACATCCCTCTAGGCAATCGACTCAAGAGGCCCTTGATTTCTTTAGTCGAGATTCAAGGTCTAGTCAAAGATTGTCCGCATTCTGAATGAAAGTGAAACAGGTTAGAGATCATCAACCATTAATCTGGTTAGTGGCTAGGGGGAATCACACCTAAGTGAGTTCCCAACCTGTAATTAGTAGTCTATCCTAGAGTAGCTTGTAGGAGTAGTTTAATTAATCAAATCTTAATCTGATTTGCTAGATAACAAGCTGAAGCTGAGTAATACTAAATCTAGATACCTCGTGGATTCAATATTTGTTACTTGCACACTATACTGCATACCCTTTCGTTGGTTACACTTGGCCACTGTTAGGAGTTGTGTTTTAGCGAGTAAAAGAGTAATCTTTGAGCCCATGGAATTTCACATTATTGTGGATCATTGTGACGAGGCCGGGCTTGATCTCAAAAGTTTTGGCCACCACGAGTGGGTTCAAAATGGTCAGTTGAATGTCCACCGGCCATGGAGCCATGTAGTAGCCCATGGTCCTCGGTTCCTCAGCTCCCTCCTGAGCATTTTGATTAGCCACCATCCCGGATTCACTTCATTCCTCCTCCTCCGATTCAAACTCTTCCTTAACTACAACTTCACCCACTTTGGGACCAACTTGTAGTTGTCCCCTCTCTCCAACCCTTTTCCCTGCTTCTGCTAACTCCCTCTCACGATCCAAAAGTCGGAGAGTGCGGTTTTGATTCTCGTCTAGTGGAACCAAAGGTGTCGGATTAAACTAGGTCATACACCCTCCTACACACACTTCAAAGAAACACAACTCGTCAAACACAAGCAAGATTCACACTCATAAAACAAAAAGTAAATGCTAGATTA